GTCCTTACATCTCAGCCTGCTGAACAGTGAAGCTGATAGGCATGAGCCACCAGCACCCAGCTTTGCTCTTTCCTTTTGTCTGCCCCGTGGTGGGTTCTTTTCTTTAGAACCTATGAGCTGATCTTTGTAAAGTACTTGGGACAGAGCCTAGCACTTGATAAGCACTAAGTACATTAGCTAGTAGATTTTTTTTGTTTTTGCCAGTCCTGGGGCTTGAACTCAGAGCCTGGGCACTGTGCCTGAGCTTCTTTTGCTGAAAGCTTGCACTCTACCACTTGAGCCACAGAACCACTTCCAGCCTTTTCTGTTTGTGGTGCTAAGGAATTGAGCCCAGGTTTTCATTCATGCTAGGCAAGCGCTCTACCACTGAGCCACATCCTTGCAGTAGCTAGTGGTTTTTTTTTTTTTATCACTGCCTGCTTGCCAGCGTCTGCAGGACCTACCCCACCCTCTCATCTTCAACTGCCAAATCCTCATCATCAGCTTTGATCGCAATGCAGCTTCTAGTCATTCATAAGACACCAGACCATCAGTCACAGGGGTAACCTCACAATGAGAATACCCCACTACCTCACATAGCCCAACTTCTTATCTCTTCCCCTTCTGCTCAACACTTGCAGAATATTATCAGGGCTACTTAGACACTGACCCCTTCAGAAAAGTTATCTCAATTTTGTTTTGCCCCACCCCCAGTTTAGAGCCCATTGCATTCCAACAGGCTAGTGCCTAATGCAAAGGCATTCCTGAGCTAAGTACTAGAAATGGGCTATCCAGCAGCACCTAGCAAATGGTCTTTGCTTCCAAGAAACAGTGATTTCCCCAGGCCCAGGGCCAGCCACAGGTACTCCACAGCTTTTGCAAATGGCTGGATCAGGAGCTGGGGCTAAGGCCTATGCAGCAGCCCTGATGGGGTCCACATAGGTCCTATGTGAGAAGTTATCAAGTTAGATAGTAAGAAGGGATTCTTCCCTGTTACTGTGGAACTCATGCAGGCTGCTGAAGGCAGGAACACATCTCCATGACTAATACTACAGGTACACTTGAAACTTGAAGGACTGTCCATTCTTTGCTGGCCTGGTGCAATACATACCCTTGGCAAGAGGGTGCCACAGTCTAGAAAGAACTTAATGTGTGAAGATAAGTTGAGGGGTGTGTAAAGAGACCAACCTGCAGACTACAAGCCTGCGATTGTCTGAGAAGACTTTTGCATCCATGGTGGTAGGAAATGCTATTCATGGCAGCCATGATTCCCAGTGTAGAGAAGATGCGTATGGTTTCACCTTGAAGAACTGGTAGATCACAAAAGCTATATTCAGTACTGGATGTAGAATAGACATAAGGGTAGTCCATAATGCTTTTTGCTGTTGGTGGTGGTGGCCACGGAGCTTGAACTCAGGGCCTGGATGCTATCCCTAAGCTTTTTTGCTCAAGGCTAATGCTCTACCACTTCAAGCCACAGCTCCACTTCCAGTTTTCTGGTGGTAAATTGGAAATGAGTCTCACAGACTTTACTGCCCAGGCTGGCTTCAAACTGTGATCCTCAGATAGCCTCCTAAGTAGCTAGGATTACAGGCACGTACCACTAACACCTGACCAGACCATAATGCTTTTCCTTTTCTTTTTTTGCATGGGCACTGTCCCTGAGCTCCTTTTTTTTTTTGGTCGTGGGGCCTGAACTCTTGGCCTGAGTGCTGTCCCTGCGCTCTTCAGCTCAAGGTGAGTGCTCTACCGCTTGAGCCACAGTGCCACTTCCGGTTTTCTAGTGGTTTATTGGAGATGAGTCTCACGGACTTTCCTGCCCAGGCTGGCTTTGAACTGTGATCCTCAGATCTTAGCCTCCTGAGTAGCTAGGATTACAGGTGTGAGCCATCGGCGCCCAGCATCCTGAGCTCCTTTTTGATCAAGGCTAGCACTCTACCACTTGAGCTACAGTGCCATTCCAGGCTTTGGTGTGATTAATTGGAGATAAGTCTCATTGACTTTCCTGCCTAGGCTGGCTTTGAACTGCAATCCTAAGATCTCAGCCTCCTGAGTAGCTAGTATTATTGATGTGAGCCACTAGTGCCCAGCCACTTCCCTTCTTGCCACTAGTAGAGGGCTAAATTAGCTAATCTATTTCTAGAACTTTGTTAGAATCTGGAGGAAATCTATTGGGGCTGTGCATGCTCCCTGTACAATGTTATATGCTACCATCTAATTAAAATGTCTTAGCCTCATCCCGTCAACTCACTCACCAAAACAAATGTAGGTAGGAAAATGAAGAGCTGACACTGTCCAAAAAGAAAGGTACTCATTGTCTTATGAAACAGTAACCTTTTCAACACTTTAATGACATTGTATTAAGAAAAAGAAAAGGGAGGAGTGGGGGCTGGGAATGTGGCTTACTGGTAGAGTGCTTGCCTAGCATGCATGAAGCCTGGGGTTGATTCCTCAGTACCACATAAACAGAAAAAGCCGAAGTAGTGCTGTGGCTCAAGGGGTAGAGCGCTAGCCTTGAGCAAAAGGAGCTCAGGAACAGTGCCCAGTCTGAGTTCAAGCCCAGGGACTGGGGGGAAAAAAGATGCGATGCCAGGCACCAGTTGCTCATGCCTGTAATCCTAGCTACTCAGGAAACAGATCTGAGGATTGCAGTTTGAAGCCAGCCCAGGCAGGAAAGTCTGTGAGACTGAAATGGTACTGTGGCTCAAGTGGTAGAGCACCAGTCTTGAGCACAAAAGCTCAGGGAGAGTGCCAAGGCCCCACCACCGACAAAAATAAAATGTAGATTGGTTCAGACAGGAAATGAGGATCAACTTAAGAGCCTTGAGTTCAGATGCTGCTTACCCATTCCCTATGTATTGTAAAAGATGCTCACCAAGGTAAGCCTGTGACAATGTTGATTCTTTCCCTCTCTACTTCTCAGACCCTGGAGATCTTTTCTCTTTGGTTGCCATCACCATTCCCATTTCCTTGATCCATCAGGATTAACTGCAAGGGGAGACCTCTCTTGGTCCTGGCCTCATGTTACAGAGGACCTGAGATTTTAAAGGAGACAGCCATTTGCCAATAAATATGCTTCGTATGGAACCACTATTCCCTCACATAACTCAGGATGTCTCACACCATTCCCAGCACCTTGCCTATATGTAGCTAATGCACAACAGAAATGCACGAATAGGGATGATTGCAAGAACTTGAATAAATGTGAAATGGTGTCAAGAAAGCTTCGTGTAGGCTCATTTCACAGCTGTAACCCTCCACTACTAGGGAGGCTGAGGCAGGAGGAATGCAAGTTTGACTGCCACCTAGGCATCTTAGCAAGATTGTTTCAAAACAAAAAGGGCTGGGGGTGTACCTTACTGATGGAGAGTTTGCTTGGCATGAATGAAACCCTGGGTTCAATCCTCAGAACTGGCCCTCAAAAAGAATTTCAAGCAAGGTTATTTTCAAAATGGGAATAGAGAGCCTACCTATTACACACAAAGCCACACATGAGGCCAACACTTAACAGCCATGTTCTAAGTATTTAAGTCTCCCAAACAGTTGGGGTCCTTATTCAACATGCACACACCCACTACTTTATTCTTATAGATGACAGAAGGAAAAAGTTCAGGGCAGTGACTTGTCCATGTAAGCAGCAGGGTTTGTCAAACCCAAGTCACTGAGCAGAACTAGCTCAGTTTGTAGGTCACAAAGTGAAGGAAAGGGGGCCAAACACGGAAGATTCCCCCCCACTCAGGGGGCTGGGTAGCAGAGTTTGGCTGCACAGCAAAGGTGTTGAAAAGCCGTCAGGAAGCAGAAAGGACTCTATGCCCTGGAGCTGAAGGGAGAGAATGAGCTGATACCTCCTTTAGTTAAATCTAGGAAAACAGTTGATTGGCATTATGAAAACAGAATAATGAAGAGAGTGTGGGGAAGAAGAGAGAGAGAGAGGGAGAGAGAGAGAGAGAGAGTGTGTGTGTGTGTGTATGTGTGTGTGAGAGAGAGTATTCGATTGGGATACCTTGTATCCTTGTTTGACAAAGTAGAAGTGAAGCACCCTCCCTTTTTACAACTAATGCATGAAAAAGAAAAAAAGGGGGGGTTAAATCCTCTTGTTTCCTCAAAAATCAAACCATTGGGGCTGGGAATGTGGCTTATGGTAGAGTGCTTGCCTAGCATGCATGAAGCCCTAGGTTCAGTTCCTCAGTACCACATAGACAGAAAAGGCCAGAAGAGGCACTGTGGTTCAAGTGAAAGAGAGCTAGCCTTGAGCAAAAGAAGCTCAGGGACAATGCATAGGCCCTGAGTTCAAGCCCCAGGACTGGCAAAAATAAAAAAAATAAAATAAAATCATTTTAAGCCCACTACCATTGGCTCATGCCTGTAATCCTAGCTACTCTACTTGGGAGGGTGAGATCCGAGATAACAGTTTAAAGGCAGCTTGGGAAGAAAAGTCTGTGAGACTCATCTCCAATTAACCAACATAAAGCTGGAAGTAGAGGTGTGGCTCAAGTGGTAACAGTGCCAGCCTTGAGAGAAAAAGCCAATGGAGACTGTGAGGCCCCCAGAGTTCAAGCTCCAGTACAAGCACATAGGTACAAAAGCCATTTTATATCTAGCCAAAGAAATCGCTGTGAAATTTTTCCCTGGGCCACAGCTCAGACTGAGTCAATCTCAAAGGAAAAAGCAGAATGGCTTGCCTATGCCTTCCCATTCTTCACAGAAATCCAGACAAAAACCCAGTGCTTCCTTTGCTTTCTAGTCCAGAAAGTATTTCTGGAACATGTTCTTTCCAAAACAGAAGGAACCCACCTAGCAGCTTCTAAAAGCCTGGACTTAATTTTCTGACTTTGTGCACAATCAATCCCTGAAGCTCTACAGCAATTTGATGATGAGTAACCCTGGCCCCCACAACTGCCCAGATGCCCATTGTGCCTGGTGCACCCTCTCTGTAAGGGGTGTGTCCTGCTCCTGATATGTTTTTTCTTTCCCCCCATACGTCCCCCACCTTTCATAAGAAAGCCAAACCATGCTCCAAAACAAAAACCAAATTTATTCAGCAGACATTTTAATTAAGAAATCCTGTAAATCAGGACCACCACAATTTCACACACTCCGTTGCGAAGTGTACGTCAATAGCTACATCTGGAGGATGAACAAGCCATTGAATCTTAAAAAAAAAAAATTCATTTAGCTACCTTAAAATTGGGGAGGGGGGGCACCTTACTAAAGTGCCATCAAGTTTCACAAGGGTAAAGCCAGCAGTTTCTCCTCTCGGAGAGTCACATTTTAAAAACAGTTTCACTCACAAAGGAGAACTGGCAGGTGAGGAACTGCAGGGCAGAGGTTCAGGCCCACGAGGCCAGAACTGAGCAGAAAGGAGTCCAGGGCTTTCATCCAACCCCACAGACACCAGAAATAAAGAGATTGTTTATGACGGTTTCTGAGAAAGCTGGTGGTGTAGCCAAGAGTGGCCCAGCATGAGGAGTTCTGGAGATTAGAGCACAGAAAAAGTGAGTAACTCGCCCTACAAGTCCCTCTGCTGGAGTGTCCTTAGGAGACTCCAAATGGTGGCAAAAGAGATAGGGGTCTTTCTTGGAGCAAGAGAAAGAAAATATCTCTGGGTGAGTTAGCTCTTCCCTGGAACCCCACAGCCTCCCCACGTACAGCAAAGCTGACCTTGAACCACAGGAAGCAAGGTCAAGTCATTTGAAAGTCCACATTCCAACTCAAGTCCCCTCACCTTCCAAATTCTCCACCCTCCTTCCAGTCCCAGTCTCCCACCTCCACCAAGTAGGAGAAAGGGGGAGGGAGTTGCCAAGACACCCACCGCCAAGCTTTTACATTCCTCACCCCACAATTTCTTTGCACAACACTTTTAGCACCATTTTTAGTAAGCTCCTCCACCGGAAAAATGAGAAAAGGGCATTCGTATCACTAGTTTTCAAGTATTGTTAGCCTTCGCGATTTCCACCCCTCCCGAGCCCTAGCTTTAAACACTCCAAGCACAGGACGCCCCCAAGGCTAACTCAGGTACTAGTTGATCCAATAGCTGCCATAGTTCTCCCAGTTTATTATTCCAGGTCCTCGGTCCTGGGTGGCCAGGGAAATTCTCACGCAGCATGCAAGCACCCTAACCGGTGCATTCCTCCACGCTTTGACGTTTTCTCCCACAACTTCGCCTCCCTGATGTGTGGCCTGTCGCTCCCCAGAATAGAGATAGCTTCTTCCTTTCCGGATGCTGCTGGGTCTGTGAAGCGGCGACCTCTTCCTCCTCCCGGGACCCGGGTCAGAGCCAGGTTCCCGAGGTCTGCAGGGTAACGGGGTCCGTTCCGCTGCAGCCGCTCCCCGACTCGGGGGCGGTCGCGGGGTTCGTGGCTGCAACCGCAGCGACCGCTCGCTGGAGCCTGCGCACCGCCTCCTTGATGAGATTCCCCGAGAGCACGAGCTGCTGCAGGAGCCGGTGCGGGTCGTCGTCGCCCGCGCGCGGCCCAGCTTGGGTCCACCGACGCTGGTGGAGGCGACGGGAGGCGACGGCGCCCCGGAGCCATCCTCGCCG